CCCTTGATCAACAAACCCTAGTGGTTTCTCCATGTAAACCTCCTCAAGAAGGTTACCATGTAAAAAGCCATTCTTGATGTCAAGTTGAAATAGAGGCCAATCATACATAGAAGCTAATGAAATCAAAACACGGACTGAACTAATCTTAGCCACAAGAGAGAATGTCTTTGTGTAGTCAACACCATATAGCTGTGAATACCCTTTTGCCACCAACCAAGCCTTCAACCACTCAACACTACCATTTGGGAGATACTTAACAATGTACACCCATTTACAACCCACAACATGTTTTCTAGGAGGAAGAGTGGTGAGATCCCACATATGATTATGAGCCAAATCGAAGAGCTCTTCTTCCTTTGCTTGGCGCCACCCTGGGGAGGTAAGGGCTTCCTGGACATTCTTAGGAGCAAAGACAAAAGATAACAAAGAAACAAATTGTTGATGAGAGGCAAAAAGGTGAGATACCGAAACATAATTAGAAATGGGATGAAGAGTGCAACTACATTTACCTTTCCGCAAAGCAATGAGAAGGTCAAGGTCGGAGAGAGGGGGTGAAACCAGTGCTAAAACAATTGTCGGATCCGTCGACGGTGAAGAGACTGGAGGAGTCAGTGCCTGTCGATGCATATACACTTGTCTGATAGGTGGTTGTTCAATAGAGGGCTGCACTAGAGACAACGATTGAGAAACAACTGGACCTGGAACTAGAACTAGAACTGGAACAAGAGGGATGTGATCTGCAATCGTAACTGGAAGTGGAGGCAGAGAAAAAGAGGAGACATCCGACCCCGAAAAAAAATGGAACAAACTCAAAAAACGTAACATCAGCATAAAAATAATGTTGAGAACTGGGATTATGACACTTATACTCTTTCTGGGTTCTAAAATAGTCGAGAAAGACACACTTAGTAGATCGTGCATCTAACTTATCCATTCCAGGCCCATGATTATGAACAAAACAAGCACACCCAAAAATCCTAGGAATGAGAGGTAAATGAGACAAAGAGGGAAACAAGACGGAGAAGGGAGAATGACCTTCAAGGATAGACAAGGCCATCTGGTTAATGAGAAAGCAAGATGTAAGTACAACATCACTCCAAAAACGTTTGGGAACATTCATATGGTGTAAAAGGGACCAAGCAGTTTCCAAGAGGTGGCGGTTATTTCTTTCAACAACCCCATTTTGTTGAGGGGTGCAAGCGCATGAGGTTTGATGAATAATACCATGTTGTTCCAAGTATTGCTAAAAAGGTGTATAAAAATATTCTTGGCCATTATCAGAACGAAGGAATTTAATAAGCACACCAAATTGAATACAGATTTCAACATGAAACTTTTGGAAAATAGAAAACACTTCACTCATTTCTTTCATAAGACAAAGCCATGTCATCCTTGAATAATCATCAACAAAAATTAAAAAATATTTGTAATCATTGTATGACACTATTTTATTTGGGCCCCAAACGTCCGAATGGACCAAAGAAAAATGACTTGACAGACAACTATCACTCCTAGACCTAAAGGGAACATGATGGTGTTTCCCATATTGACACGACTCACAAGTAACTTGAGAGATTTAAGAGATGGATGACCAATCCGACAATGCCACTAAAGAGGGAAAAAGAGACGACTGAAGAGCCACCACCATCAAAGTAATACAATCTACCAGCTTCATGCCCTCTACCAATCTTCATCCCCGTCTTGAGATCCTAAAAAACACGAGGAAGGGAAAAAAGTGGAGTAATTAAGAGGCTTGGTTAATTTACTAATAGAAATAAGGTTAAAAGGAAATTTGGGAACATACAAAACTAAGGACAAGGGTAAGGAGTCTAGATTAACATTACCAACACCACAAATAGAAGATGTGGAGCCACTAGCAAGGGTAACTATGTGTGAAGTAGGGGACTGACAAAGAGAAGAAAACACACCTAGAGTCCCAGTCATGTAATTGGAAGCTCCAAAATCAATAATCCAATGGAAGGATTTGGATGCAAAACAAGCCATACTTGAGTGGGCAAGGGTAGTTGTATTCTGCTATGATGTAGCCTAAAGAAACAACTCATACTCATCAATATTCAAGGGATCAATTGTTTTTGGATTCATAAGAAAGTATTCTTGTTCTAAGCCTAATAGAGGTAGTTGAGGCTTAACTTTAATTCTCCTTAATAAAATTTATTTTTCTATTGCTGATAAAAAAAATAATGTTTCCCCAAACTCCTCTCACACTGTGGTTTAAAAGCGCAAGATGAAAAAAAAAAATAAGGGACAATTTGTGCCCAAGGCACAAAGCGCAAGGCAAGGTGTGCGCCTTTTCGAAGCAAGACACGAAATGCAAAATGAAAAATAGAAAATAACAAATTTTCAAAAAATATATATAAACATAATATTAATAAAAAATATGAACTTAAATATTAAACATGGACTTGTTTGGGCTTTCCTCAAAGGGCTTTGCCATGGGTCCAGGGGGCATAGCCCTTGGCCCAGCCACTAGGTTAAAAAGAGAATAAAAAGCACAAAAAATAAAAATGGCACACACCTAGGCTGAAGCGCAAGGCACACCAAGCATGCGCCTTTAGAAAGTGTTGCACCTAGGCCTAGACAACTAGGCACGCCTTTTAAATCACTTCTCTCACATTCGACTTCTCCACCTGATTCTTTGCAAGAGCATTGTAGAAAGATTTAATTAAGAAGATGCATTCTTAGCTTCCTACCACCACCTTAAGTCTCTTCATCCACTTTGCACTTCTACCGCCTACAACAACTTTAATAACAAGCTACGCATTCCTCCATCTCCCAATAAAATAGAGGCCTTCTAAATTTCAGACAGCACACAACCCTTTCTTGGGTTATTTCAAAACTTTTTGAAATAGACACATTCTTCCTGCTGATGCTGTACAATCGTGGACACACATCACAAAGTCTGCCAAATCCCCACTCAATCATCTTCCCAAAACTTTATGGATGACCCATCACCCACCTTGTAGGAGACAAAATTCAAGAAGGCTGAGCGAAAACTCATAATTCCTTTCCATACACATTATTCCCCAAAAGAAGAATTCACCTCCTTCCATTCCATTGTTTATATTATGTCAAAGGGGAAATGCCTTAAACCTCACCTGAGTTTTCTGAAAAGACCTTAAACCTCCCTTAGCTTTTGGGGATATAGACTTAATAAATCCCTTCTGTTACTGTGATGTTAGCAACCTAACCGAAATTGTTGATGTCATGATTTTATACCAAATTTTACCATGAACTTTGACGATGAGAAGAAATGAAATCCAATCACTAGATTCCCCCTTGGCCACACCACCGGCAGACATCTTTCTCCTTCCCTCCCCCCCTCCCTTCCTTGCTCCCTCCAAAGGTGCCACTACAGATTTGACACCAGATAAACAGTGAATATATAACTAGATCATAGTTATGGTACAAGCTCTAGAACCTCCAACCTGCTGCAACCAAGCTCAGAGGACAGACATGTGACCCTCCCTTGACCGTGTTAACGACTATGCTTTTCCATTCTATTTTTTGGTGATTAAAATCCACAAACAAAATCAAGAAAAATGTATACAAAGTCAAGGAGTCCTAGCAAATCAAAAGACTTCAACTCCTAATAGATTTATTATCTTAAGGCATGGAACACCAAAAAAAGCACAATCGTGTTCGTCACCACAGGTCACGGTAGACCTGTTCTTTTGCATTCAATTTGGGAACTAATTCTTGTACCCATGTTGGGTTCAACCTTATCGCTTATTTCCCCCACCAGCCAACAAAAAATTTAAAAGTTGGGATACGACATGGCCTGGCGGCCACCTGATTAATTTCATCGTTCAATCTCAACCATCCATTTTAAATACCGGCTTCTCTTTGGAATTCTTTTGAGTTCTCTAGTCTAGCATGAATCAAGAGCTTGAATGATGACTCCGGCTAAAGGGTCATTTGTTCTGTTTTCTATTTGGTTTTGTAGGAGTAATAACTCCAATCGTGCTCTGAGTTGCTATTTGATTTGCATGGTTAATAGATTTACAATGGGTCTATTTTCCATTGGGTTTTATCAATCCTTCAGTCATTTTCTGAGGACTTGTATCTGAATTTTTACTAATGTTAGGATTTATCTATTGATTGGTGTGTCATAGACATTTGAATGGACTAGGCTGACAATCAAACATTGAAATGTTTGATAAATGATGCCACAGAATCCATAGTCAACCAATTGGAGAGATAGCCGCAGATTAATCAGTGGTATCCTTGAGAAGCACAGTGTGTGCTCTGGTCCCCCATGAATTCTAAAATTGGCCTTACATTATCTCTTTATGAAGTTCATGAAGTAGTTTATGAGAATTGCCTCTGTAGATTCCACACTCAAAATAAATTCATGAGAATTGCCTCTGGCTGACTGGGAAAACTAACTTTCTCTTCCATTTGGAGCCAGTTCTTTCTTCTCCATCATGACTGCACTCCCTCTTTGAGGTTTCCCATCTGCACCAAAATACCTGTAAATAAAACTTACATTGTTGACAATTGGTGCAACCTGAACCTGCCTTACCCATTTAACTTTGATAACACTAATGGTGGGGGGACCAGTAACCACTATGTTAATTTCTGTTAGTTTATGAGATGCTGGGGAAAAACAATGTCAGATTGAATTGAAAAAAAAAAAACCAGTACCCAATGTTGGTCCCACCAATCAGGGGTCTTGGGAAGGGTAGACTGGATACAGTCCTAACCTTTGGCATTTTCTGCACAAAAGTGGCTGCCCTCATACGCAAACCCGCTCACACATGCCAGCCCAAGATTTTACCTTTACACTAATAACTGCCCCTAATGTCAAACTGAATTGTGATTGGAAATACTAGCAAAACATGTGACATTAGTCACATTACTACAGTTGTATAAGATGCTAAACCATAACAATATTGGGGAATAATAAAATATAATCTAGTAAGATGATCAGAACATTTTCTTCAATAGCCACTTAGAAGTCACAATGGTAAATATCATACCTCAACTCTGGGCTTCTTGATCCTAGAAGTTGCAGTTGACTCCAAGTCAGATGTCTCAAGACCATTCATCTGATTGAAACTATCATTTATGCTGCCATCTGGTGACACAATGTTTAAGGGCATAGCACTTGTATAGCGCCTCATTTTCTTTGTTGCAGAACTTCCATCTTGTGAGATCAAGTTCCTTGCTTGCAAACGGGACTTAGTCATAGCCACCAAATCTTCACCAACTGCTGCTCTAGATCCATTACCAGGTGCTGATCCAGCTATCCTATCAATCATGCTGACAACTGAACCAATGTCACTGACAGAAGCACTAAGCACTTTAGGTGATACTGATTTTACCTGAAAAAGGTCAACAGCATAAGAATTCGCAATACACATAGCTAGCAAAGAAAATTCAGTAAACCGTACACAACCATAAATCATTTTGGACATTTATTCAACTAACCACATTAATTAGGCGCTCAAGAGGCTGCTTTATTACACTTGATTTGCCTGAAATCATTATGGATGAAGTACCCTGATTTCCATCTGGACTAGTAATCTCTGCAAGCAAGGGGGAAGCAGATATCCCCGGTGTGCCAATAGCAAGAGACTGAGCTGAGGCTAATGTAACAGCTGTTTGTGGATGCCCTACATTTCCTGCATTTGAGAGTGAAGCAACAGTAGAAGCCTGTATTTCAGAGTCACCTGGTATTGGAGATGGAACCAAGGGAGGTGAAGGTGAAGGAACAACAAAAGGGGAATTTGCAGACTGCAACGGTGTTCCAGCCTTTGGAAGAGATGTTAGTAGACTTTTCTGATCTATCTGTGGAGAAGAATGCTGAGAAATTTGTGGGGATGAAGCTTGAAGGAGTTGTGGAGAAGAAGTAGGAAATGTGGCGCCTGTTTTTAGTGGTTGATGGTTATATGCTGGATATTGGCTTGCAGAATTATGTGGCTGAAAATTTCCTGATTTAGCACCCATGCCCTGTCTCCCTTTAAGGTCACCTACTTCATTCATATGATGAAGCTGCGGCATTTGGTGTGCCTGCAATTGTGCAGGCTGTTGTTTTTGTTGGTGTAAAGGTGGCTGCTGCTGCTGCTGCTGGAATTTCTGTTGCAGTTGTAAGTGATGCTGCTGCTGTTGTTGCTGCAACATCAGCTGCTTCTGTTGCTGAATCAATTGGGTATGCATTGACCTCTGTTGAAATTGTTGCTTTAATTGTTGAGAAGGCATCACCTGTTGCTCCTGTTGTTGCTTCAAATGCTGCTGTTGGAGCATATTAGCATTGGGCTGAATGGGACCGATGTTAGGCTGCAAAGCATTAACACTGCCATGTGACAATGTGCTAATGTTTGACTGTTGGGACATACTCACAGTACTCTCCTGTAGAGATCCCGCAGCACCCTGCTGCAAAGAACTTGATGCATTTCCCTGTCCTGACTCCAAATTAGAACTAGACTGCAGGGAATTCATCACATTTGGCCGTACATTTGGTAAATGTGTTGACGAAGGAGGTAAAGAACCATGCGGCATACTGGTCACAGCAGTTGACTGCATTGATGTTACAGAACCTTGTAAATTAATTGGTTGAATTTGGGGGTCATGCTGCTGTTGCAGCTGAGATATTTGAGGTTGCTGCTGCAGCTGAGGAATATGAGTCTGTAGTTGCTGATGCATGGAGTTTGGAAGGACACCAGGTGGATGAGATTGTTGTTGTCCCTGCAGTTGTGAAGGAACAGGCTTCTTGGGCCTGTTTGTATTAAGGATATTAGTTATCTGCTTCTCAAAACCAGCCATTTTATCCTTGTAAAATAAGCAATTAGCTTTGGGCACTTGCAAGAAATTTATAATGCGCTCCAATACATTTTTAAACATTTTAAGTCTGTTAATATGTTCTGAATTTGGAGGCTGTGGAAGAGAATCATTCTGCAAAAAAAAATCAAAAAGAAATTATAAATGTGGGAAGAAAAGGAATAGTAGACATGAAGATATCAAATGCCTAGGGTCCAGATATTGATGCTTTTGGGCCAATATCTATTGATAATCAACATGATGAAATACAATGATGGTCAAGTACCTGATGGCATTTGAGAGCGATCTTCTGGTACATTTCATTAATCTCAGGTAAATACATTTCCTTCATTGCTTTTATCTGTGCAAAGCAATCCAGTAAAACTTTCAATTATAAAAGGCATAAATTTTCCAATGAGAAATATGTAAGAAGCCATTGTCCGAAAGAAAATTGCTATGCTCAACATCCAAAACCACCATCATAAACAATTATCTTCCCCTAAAATAAGATTCATGTAGTAAGGATATATGGCACACATAAAGGAAAGAGTGGTATAATGCCATACATGTGATATAACAACTGAAGCCACAAGAAGCCTTATCCTATCTAACCATTCCATTCGATCAAGGGAATTATCTTTCTTAAAGGCCTTAGCATGCTTGAAAGACAATGCAAAATTCATGTTCATAAGGCTTTGGTAAAAGTTTTATGCTAGTTGCCAACTAATGCAATCCTCCTTTATCTGCACATGGATAGTGCAATACAAGCTCAATACTGTCAGAGTCACAGATCATTGCATGACATAAAACAAAGGAAATTATCAAGAACTGGTAGTGGAACTCACAAAGAGAACAACTTCACAATATGTTGATTATGTTTAGCAAGATTTTTTTGTAGCTAAACATGCCAATGAACATTTTCAATAACAACAAGGTAAGGTAGAGAGATGAACTCTACCATAGACGTATCTCTGAACTGCAAAACATTTAATCCTTATATATATTGATCAATAACTGAAACAGCTTTATTAAATTAAAATAAAGGTAGAGAGGTACAAAGGAGGGAGAGATGAACTCTCTTAACTCTCCCATAAAAGAAGATTACAACAAAGCCCAAAACAATCGATTCCTTCCCACCCCTTGTTTGGCTAATGTAAAAGCAAAGGAAATAGCCTCTCTTTTTATCCACTGAAAAGATACCTCCATTTCTTGTAATAACCGTCTAATTATCCCCTTCTCATAAATGTGGCTCAACCACCCAACATCCTTGCCTTTTGCAGCCAGTTTATAACTAGCTTTGAATCCCCTTCAATTACCAATTTGCAAGTCCTTAACTTTCTGAATTCCTTCCATAACAGCTAACATTTCAGCCCTCAAGGAATCACCTTCCCCAATTGGACCTGAGTGCCGGGTGAAATGCAATAATATTACTTTACCTTCATCATTTAATCCTTGTATATTTGCTATCAAAATCTATTACTTTCACCTCTTCAACTATTGCATTGTTCTGTCTGTGTTGTGTTTCTATATAGAGCATTAGATCTCTGCTAAAAGACGAACACTCGTTACAAAAATAAGTAGAGGTATCTATGTTCTTATAATTTTATGTGGGTACATACATACACATATATTGAATATGCATCTCTTAGTAAAGTTAGTTCGAAATTTCAAATATTGTATGTTTACCACAAAGTCATCGGTTCAAGTATTATAAGGTTACTTTCAAGTAATTTTATTCATGGAATACAATATCGAAATCATTTTTAGTTCATTTTACTAATAACATATAATACTATGATCACTTTTAGTGTAATTTATTAATGGTAGTCAATCTGAATCCAAATATTAACAAATTAAATTTGGATTTAGGTATGTCCAATATAATTGGATCTGTTTGCAGCCCTAATGTATATACGTTTCACTCCACAGATAATGACATAGGACTGAATAAACCATAACTCAGTTCATATATAGAATGTTGATAAACATCATCCTCATCTATGATACCCGGATACCAGTACAAGAGTGCAGTATCATGTTGGACACTTCAATTTTTAGTGTAAATTTCATATGCAATACCATATCCATTCATGTCCTTGCAGTATCCAGGTAACATAGATCATCATCAGAAGAAGCAGGAGTAACTACTGCCATTACCATTCAATGTTTTTAAAGGCATTTGAGGTGTACCTCCAGGCGAGGCACACTCAAAACATCCTGAGGTATGCTGAAGACACGGATGCCCTCATGCATCTCGTGCATGCCTCAAGAAAGAAAGAAACAAAGGAAAAGAAAGAAAAGAAAAAGAAAAAGAAAGGAAATGAAAGAAAGAACTCCTCTGGAGAAGGCATACACCTCTTTACACTCTGGAGGCTTACGCCTTTTGTGCTAAACTAGCCACACGCCTCTGGGTAGTGGAACACCACTGCATTCTAGAACTTTGCCACCACTATAGCTGCTGCCATTACTGCTGCTAGTGCTACTACTAATACTGCTTCTAATACTATCACTGAAGATACCAGTGCTACAATCACAACTGCAATCTCTCTTTCAGGGGCCCCAGTTGTTTGTGTCTATAAGCAACAAGAACCTTGTCCTCAAGGGGGACCCACAGTTGGTGATTGAGATGAGAAAGGCATCTTATTGGTGATTGGGCTATGGAGGTGTGGGAATTTAATGCTACTTCTCGAAAGAGCTTATTGTGTGAAAATATTTATATGCATCTTGTTTAGGATGGAGAATGTTGTAGATATGATTTTTGGGGTCTGTTTTTATTTTGGGATGTTGCATGATATTCCATTACGTGGTCTGCAAGGTTTTATAGGGGGAAATGGATTTTTAGATGGTTCATTTGAGGGCAGGGATGACTGTTGTTCTAGTGGACCTCTTGATGATTTCTTATCACCAGCTCTTGTATTCCCTTTTCAGACCCTAATAAGCTGGTAATTGTATTTTCTATATATGTTCTAAGGAAAAGCTCTTCAGCTTGCACTGCCCTGGAATTCTCTTTGATGTTCCCAATGCATGTATTTGACTATTTTTGTATTAGTAATTATCTTTTTGTCTTGTTGCCAATTAAAACAATAATATAATAATAAGAACAACAACAATGATGATAATATGTGTTCAAGAATCATTAATTTGAATTATGTAATGTATTATATATTCCAAACAAAAGTTATAGGAATCACCTTTTCATAAACCTCTTCTTGCAAATCAGCATTTGCATGTCCTGGCTGAGCTGCCGAATCAATAGATGCTACAATTCAAAAAAGAAAAAATAAAAACTAGAACATGAAGAGAATACTGCACAGAAAATAGAAGATTTTTCTTCAAAGGAAAATAAGTAATTTCTTCCCTATTTTTTCAATTAAAAATATGAAATACATTAAATCAAAGATGTAAAATATCAGAGAGCATGAGAGAACCAGGACAAATATGCAATAATATAAAGCATGAGACACAGGATTCAAAAATATAAACAACAAAAGAATAGTGGGAACATATCTACAACATTATTAAAATTTAATGGCATACTTGACGAAGCCTCTGGAAGCATTCTTTGTGATTGAAATAGTTGCTTTGGTGGCTCAATTGCATTCTGGGAATGAGGCAATGCACTTGATGTTTGAATCCTTTGCTGCATATCTCTTTGTAATGAATTGGATTGCTGTTGTAACCCCAGTTGTTGTTGCAGCTGACCAGGCTGTGTTGGAAGATGAGACATCATTTGCTGCTGTTGTGGTTGTGACTGTGATTGTTGGCCTTGTGTTGGCAGAACAGTCAATGATGTCTGCTGGGTTTGTTGTTTCTGTGCTACAAGCTTGACTTGTTGAAGCATGTTTACTGAGTGCCGATTTGGCTGCATGTTTGAAACACTAGACTGGGGTGAAAGCAATTGCTGCTGCTGTAATCCAGGAACATAACTTTGTGAACCCAACTGCTGCATGTTAGACAGATTATTTTGCTGGCTAAGCAGTCTCTGTTGTTGTTGCTGCTGCTGCTGCTGCTGCTGTTGCAATGGTGGCTGTGGTTGTGTCTGCTGCTGCTGTTGAGTTTTCTGCACATGTGGAACACTGTTTTGCTGTGCAACCAGTTGATTCTGCTGCATGTTTGTTGCATTTGGTTGTTGCCCTATTAGTTGTTGCTGCTGAGATGACAACAATGTCTGCTGAGAAAGTGGTGTTTGGTGTTGAAGAACAGGAGGCTGTTGGTGCAATGACTGTTGTGATTGTTGTTGTTGCCCAAGAACTGACTGTTGATGTTGCTGAAGCACCAATGAAGTGGATGACTGAATAGAAGTTTGCTGGTTCTGTTGAAGCACTGAGTGTGGAGCAGATTGCATAACAGAAGGCTGTGTATGCTGAAGAGAGGACTGGCTTGATGGGAGACCCGATGACACTTGCATAAGGGACTGCTGAGAAGATTGCAGCTGAGTTGGCTGCAATAGATTCTGCTGCCTCTGTTGTTGCTGCTGCTGCTGTTGGATGTGTTGTTGCATGAGGGACTGTTGCTGTATATTTCCCTGCTGGATCTTTGGCTTCAGAATCTGTTGCTGCAACTGCTTCTGCGGGTAAATATACTGCTGTGAGTTCTGAGACTGCTGCTGGAGCTGTTGGGGAATAACCTGTTGCTGTAGCTGTCGTCCTGGCATTTGCCTTTGTGAAGTGGGAAACACACTGGAAGGTACACCTTGTGCCAGAGGATTACTTACAGGGTTCTGTGAAATGCCTGAAACATTTGGCATGTTGGAACTCTGTCCACTAGCATTCGGAATGGTGTTCTGAGTTAGACCAGAAACAGATGACTGTACAGATGGCAGACTAACAGAATTCTGCACTCCAGAAGGTAGAATGTTATTTTGAATGGTCTGGGGCAGCATATGCTGTCGTGCCTGGTTAGGCATAGAAATTGGTAGCGACATCCCTTGGTTGTGCACTTGGGACTGCATACTCTGAGATGCTATTAAAAATAAAAGGCCAAAGAGAAAATACAGGTCAGCAAAATGAAAATTCAGAAAAATATAAAGAAAATAACCATGCATTATAATATTATCAATTATCAAACAATAAAAATTGAAAATGTTCTTTGTTCACTAATAGATCTTTCCTATCAATGAATAAATTTTCTACAATCATGGTTATGATCAAGATATCTATAACCAATCTGCTGATCAGTCATAAGAAATTCAAAAAAAAACAGATACAGAGAATCAAGAATTAGTGGGTAGAAGTTAGAATGACCAAATCTAACAAAGAAAAAATAATAAATAATAAATAATAAATAATAAATAAATAAAAAGAAACTCATAACGGCATACAAAAAGTCTGCAAATGGTAATTTAAAAAGTTAAACTTGGCATCTGTTGTATTGACAAGTATGCGCAAAATAAATGCCAAGTAGAAATACCAAAAAGCAGTTGTATCATATGAATTTTCACTTTTCTGTTATCTTTATCAGGTAAGAACCAATTTACAAATTCTCGTTTACCTGGATCAACAGGATTTGGGTTACCACCAGCTGAGTTTGATGGTAAGGAATTAGGCACAATATTAGGCTGAGATTTTGTCTCCATTGTCAGCATCTTCAAAGATATTTTGCGTAGATAATCTGCCTGGAATTAGAATTTAGAAAAATTATATCCCTTCAATAAGCAAATGAAACCTTAAAGCACAAAAGAGGTCAAAAGGTACACTAAGAACAAAGGTAACTCATGAAGAAAATCAAGCATAGTTACTGGTTCAAGATATATCAAAGCCTTCCCATCAAAAGTCCCAGTCAATTTTCATATCCATGAGGTACCAATATAACTACACTTGGAATTTAAAAAATAAATACAATATTGCAGTTGACATTGCTATAATTTTTAGTCGAAGGTAAGAGATCTTAGGAAAGCTTTTTCAACATGCAACAGAATATTCAAATTTAGTCCAACCACAAAAGAAAACAGAACTACAAGGGAAGCAATGGTGCATCTCCACCCTAAACAGACTAGTCTTGGCTGACAGGTCCACATCCTGGGGCTCTCTGGTATTGGAGGAACCCTCAGGAATCATAGAGTTGAAGCTTCCTTTTCTACTCAGGCTCAACTGGTTCACAGAACTTGGTTGGGGCTAAGACTATAGCACTTCTCCTTACTCAACAAAGGCTGAAAAAATGGCACTTCATCAAGGACTTCAGTTGATGCTATCTTTTGGTTCTATTGAGTAGAAGTGGAGAATGACTTGCAGGTTGTTAGATGGATGATTCATTTCTTTCTTTTTGGTAAGTTTCATTAAAAAACAGCAAACTAACCAAAGTACAGCAACAAACAACATAAATAAAAAGGCTCCCAGACAAATGGAGCTCCAGAACAAGAAAAGGAACAAAGCAACCAAAGAAAACTATTACAGATTACAAGTTATAGCTCAGCCCAGGACAACCCCATTCTAGACTTTCCTTTAACACATGCTATTTTTCAGCTATTGGGCTCCTTCCTTGAACATCTTTTTCAGGCAGATTCCAAAATTGGCTCATCTAGAGCAAATGGCCTGGCAAGGTGATTTGGGGAGTAGAAATCTATTTTTTGGTATTAGTCTTTCAGGATGGTTAGTTTTGCTTGTCTTTGTGTTTTGTTTTCAGTTGTATCTCTGTTGCTCTCTCTAAGTTTCTTTCCTGTTTTTTGGTCATCTGCTTCAGCATAGGGGCTAAACAATATAATCTTTTAATCATCATATCAAAAAGAAAAAGTATATATAATAGTAATACAAGCAATAAATTACAAAGAGAAGAGGCCATTTCAATAACTAGCGTACCTGACTTGTTGCTGCAGTGTAAATCTTTTCCTCAAATCTTCCAGCAATTTTCTTTAGTTCCTGTAACCCATCAGGTCCAGAAATTGGAAGGTGCTTCTTTAAAGTCTCCATTCTACATGTGAAACGGTTAGCTAATAACAGGTAAACTAGCATTGTTCTTGTCCAAGTCATTAATGCTAAAAAAATCTTAAATCTTAATAGGTAAACCTCATAGAAACTCAAGAATCATTATTAATGCAGGTCCCAGTTTATAATAAAATGTCAGAAGCAAATGCAGATCAACACAAGTCTATTAAAAGCATGGTTCCAGTTCCAAAATCGATGAACACTTCACCATGCAGAGATGGGGGAACTTTGGGGATGTTTCACTAATTGTGCTAACATATTTGGAAAATCTAAATAAGTTAAGGAAATTTTCTTAAATAACAGAATTAGTTATAAACCTTCACGGAATCTTTTTTTTTATCAGAAACGATAACTTTCATTAGAGATAAATTAACCTGAAAAACAGAATTCAACCCTTGATAGAAAAGGTTGATCCAATAAACATCAAACATTACAGCACTGCCMARWAAAGWCTCTCCCTTRCARTCCCTTGTTTTGCTAGGGCGTCAGCAAAACCATTTGCTGATCTCCTTACCCACATGAACCAAACACCCACCTCCCTTGTTATGCTAAGAATTTCCCTTATCAGCTGTCT